AAATAAATAAATAAATAAATAAAACCACCGACAGACATTTGAGCTAAGTAATGACCTGTGGACAATCTATACACGCATGCAACGATATACTGTACCAAGCAGGTACACTATCAGCTAACAAGGGCAGGACACAAGCAGTGCCTCGTGCAACAAACAGTGCTTATCAGGTAAACGATGCTAGCACAAGATAAATTGTACCAAGCAGGTACGGACACGATAAGCTAACAATGGCAGGGCACAAGCAGTGCCCTGTGCAACAAACAGTGCCTTTACCAATAAACAATACTAGCAATTTAAACAAATATAATATCGTACCAAGCAGGTACGTCCACGATAACGCTCATGCTAACAAAAGGCAGGACACAAGCAGTATCCTGGCAACAAGAATGTCAGTGGCAGTCAAACCGTGCTAGCAACGGCTTAAGGCCAGAATAGCCTACACTACAAATAACTATGCGAAAGCACAGCAGCAGTCACAATTACAAAAGCTGTACTTATCCGACGGAGGACTAACGATCACGAGGACGTTGGGGGGTAGGCAGAGGTGGCAAACCATTTGGTGAGGGCGTCGGTGAGTAGGCGGAGGCGGCCGGGCCAGGTAATTGATTAGGGCAATGAATACGACGATAATGGCCGCGACAACGAGACACATCGCAGATATGAAGATAGCGACAAACTGCGCGAGCAGCCACACAGCGTCCCCAATTCCAAGAACGACAGATAGTTGTTCCAAATGAAGCTCCAATACTTTCGCGTGAGAGAGGAGCAAGGGAAGGTTGAGAGACCCGTGTCGAAGCCGAGGTGTGAAAATTGTACAATTCGACATGCATCCCGGACCAATCAACTACATGACGTGCTGCGGCGTCACGGCGAAAGGCTTCGTCATAATTGTACCAAGCTGAGCCGCCAAACTGAGTATACATACGTAAAATGAGAAGCTGGTAACGAATCAAGTCAGCCGCGCGGCTGGGCAAATAGGTCACCATAATAAGCATATATATTGCAAACGCCTGCAGCCACTGAGAAATATCGGTCAGGCGCCGGGCCGGCTTGGAAGCTTGAGAGACCACTACCTGCCCATCAATGTAAATTAAGGGCGAAGGAGATCGCATGTCAGACGGTTTTGACAGTGTGGCCAAGTCAATATATTGACCAGAAATAATGTTCGTCACCGTCTTACCAGGGACCGGGAGAAACCCAGGGCCAACAACGAAAGCGTCAAGTTGCGTATGAGCTAAAGGCAAAAACATACCTGGTGCAGCCAAACCTGCAGCTGGCGGAGTATTTGGCAGCAGTTGAAGCGACAACGGTGCCCCAGACGGCAAAACTGGGCCAGCAGGAAGCCTTGAAGCAGATGCCAACTCTTGACGTGGGCGTGCACATGAGCGACAGCATTAGAATGTGCCTGAGCATGAGCTTGCAGCAAAGCTTGTGCCTGGAGGGTAGCCTGTGCCTGGGCTTGCGCTTGGGAAATCGCCTCCTGGAGGATGGGATCCGGGGAAATGGACGCCTGCTGGAGGATGGAATCCAGGGAAGTGGACGCCCGCTGGAGGATGGGATGTTGGGAAATAGACGCCTGCTGGAGGATGGGATTTAAGGACGGAGCAGGATGGGCGACACCAGAGGAGACTGGGAGGGAACAAAACGGCGGCTGAAAATTGGCCGATGTCGAAGAAAAAGGAAACGTAAAATTCGCCATAACGCCCGGAGTTATTGAAGGACGTGCGGTGGTGGGAACGACACTAGGCGTAGGCCACGGATTCTGTGGAAGGTACGGGACAGGAAGCCATGTACGAGACGCTAAACTTGGTGAAGCAAACGGCACGGAAGCAGACCACGAAGTCGACCCAAGACTTGGCACAACCGGCGATGGCAAAGCGCTGGAGGCCGACGACACTGAAGGCAGCACAACAGGGAGAAGCGACGAAGTTGGCGAAGTTAAACCCGACGATGACGAAACCAAACCCACAGATGCAAGTGATGTAGAAGCCGACGAAATAACATCACTAGTGACTGGCGAAAACGATAAATCCGTTCCAGAACAACTGGCCAGACTATTATTAGTGAGCCGAGGCATCCAAAATAGAAACCAAAACCGAAACGAAGCACAAGAATCCCCAGAAAAACAAAAATTGAAAAATAAATCAAGTGCACAGTGTGAGAAGCAGTATGCAAGTGAGCACAGCCCGTGAGCACAGCAAATGGCAAATTACAGCACGCTGACAACAGACTGCTTCTGATTGGTCAATGAAATTGAACCTGCATAAATGCATAATTTACATATTGTAACGACCCACAACAACTCGTGCTTGATGTTAATTATTTTTATTGCATAAACACATTTAAGCTTCATTATCTATTGTTTGAATTGCATTCGACGCGACCGAAATGCAACGTATAAAACAGGCCTTACAATACTAATACTAAAAGTTTGTAAATACTGTTTTGTTTACAACTAGCGGGAGCTGTTAAAAATTTATTACAAATTGCTTATTTTCATTGTTTTTGGTAATTTCTGTTTTGTTATTGTATATGATAAAACAATTATTCACGTCAATGTCAGTGAATAGTGCAAGGATATTTACCTCGACAGCGTCTTTCAGATTTGCAATTTTTAAAATATATCCTGTATCTTACTGCCCTAGGATGCATTTTGGATGCTGGTGTCGCTCTTTGAAAGACCGAAGTACTTGTCTGGCTATTTTGATTCCACTCTTTCCAAGTAAGGTATTTTTTTACTATATCGGCGAACATAATGCAATACAATCCTGAAAACTTGTTCTGACAAATCAATATGTCACACGCACCCACGCATGGCCAATGGCATGCTTTGGTCGAACATGATTGGACACTCATTACTTACAGAACTCACAAGAGGAAAGTTGTACAGTACTACATTGCATAGAGTGCGATAATTATCATTTATAGACGCGGAGCGAGGGGGATTCGGCGTAATATTTCCCGAAGTGATGATATTTTCCGAGGGGCTTTGCCCCGAGGAAAATATCATCACTGAGGGAAATATCGCCGAATCCCCCGAGCGGAGGGTCGATAAATGATATATTATACCGAAGTTAAAGAACTCACTAAGTTCAGAATAAACTTTAAAACTTGCTGAATATTTTAAAACTACGCGAATACAATTTTTAATTTCTTATGTATACCTGAGTTTCAACCTCGTTCCCAGGGCTTTAGTGTGAGGACGAGGCGAGACACGAGGAAGCCCTGGTCTGGGCCGGTCAATTTTGCATTCTGATTGGCTAACACCATATTGTCTAAAAATAACTGAACTTGACAGTTGACAATAACAATTAACAATTCAACATTTGTATTTTTATTATTCTTGTGTGTACGAGTATGTTTTGCAAAATAATCTTTCAAAGTAGTAAGACGTTTTCCCGACTGCATGATTTACTTTCGCCTCGGCCGGTTACAACACTCAAAAGTCGTGTCGAAGTGAGCTGTGATGTTTCCTGACAAAACAAGAAACGTCTACTATTATTGAAGCTGTAGTTCATGTAGTTTTCCTTGTACAGTATTTATTAGTGCAGATGTCTGATGAAATACTACGCGTATTTGCATTGTCGTAATATTTTAATTTACAATATTCTGTACCGGACAAATAAAAGCAAGACAAACAATTCAATGAAACTACTAAAATTAATTTAGGCCCTTACTTAATAGCTCTACGCCTAGGCCGATGTAGTCTCTACAAGATTCGCACGCCACCGAGTTTTACAGTTTCAGAATACCCCGAATACTTGAAAATTGCGACTATATGATAAAATAAAACAAAGATTGTGAAGGGGATAAAATGTGTAGGCAAGCATTGCTCCTGAACGGCAAGTGTTGGTGTCCGGCGAAACAAGCGAATCCGTATATTCCTGAATCCTGTACAGCGTATATAAACAGGTTACACGAGGTTTTGTATTTGTGTTAATGAATATTGAAGTAAGTCAGATCTATAAGAGCAGATTTAAACTAAATATTAATTATAGCAATAGCCATATTGTTCAAGACGAGAGAAAGGAAATTTCGTGTGAATCACCACTTGTATCGGGAGACGCCTAGATGCAGCTTGGATGCAGTTGAAAATCTCCAGAAATATCGGTATATCTTAGAAAACATAGACGGGATCTTCATAGATTTCAGCTGATTCGTGCCAAACTTCGCTCTACACATAAATAATATCGATTGACAAGTCTTTTGGCTATTTATTTGTTTCGAAGACTTGTATATTTCATTAAAGAATATCTCGCCACTCCTTGACGAGCAGCTGTCAAATACTGCCATTTTTTGGGTAGACACGTGACCGGCCCAGACCAGGGCTTCCTCGTGTCTCGCCTCGTCCTCACACTGAAGCCCTGGGAACGAGGTTGCCTGAGTTTTTGACGTTTCCTCAGTCTTTAAAATATTTGAGCATGTATCCTTTGGATCATTAAAGGTAACATACGTCTTGAAAACATATGTCCTGGTTAAATACTTTAATAAATCAAATCTTCTGTACGAAATTACAAACAACAGCTCGCGAACGCCATATTGTTTCAGAGCGTGGTGTCCACGCGTTAGCGTGGGATACTATAATATCCCACGGTAGATCTGCCGTGGGATATTATAGTAGGCTATCTCACGCTGCATTGCGAAATCATGAATTTGAGTGAAATACCGTAAAAGATCGCATTATCACGTGGTACAAATGCTGTTTTTTCATTGGACAATTTGAATTTGATGTATAATATTTTAGTATATACTGTGTGGTAGATTTTTGTTGTCAGCCAAGTATATACCGTGTAGCTACGCGGGACTCTAGCTGTCTGCGTTCGTTTTGTTTGTACCATGCATATATTATTATAAAATAACATGTATATAACGCGTGCTCTGATTGGTCGAAACCCGTGTTTGGATCAGGCCATCCAAACACGGAAGACTATCCCGTTGTAGTTATTTTATAAAACAATTACTTTATGGTTTCCGTGTTTGGATGGCCTGATCCAAACACTTGGGAATGTTGCTCGAGTTAAGAAAAGCGCGCAAAATCACTCGCCTTCGGCTCGTGTTTCGCTCGCTTTTCTTAACTCTCGCAACATTCCCGCGTGTTTGGATCAGGCCATCCAAACACGGAAACCATAAAGTAATTGTATAACACCTTACACTATTATTCAGCTCACGTCCGATTGGAGTTTCAGTGACCGATTACTCAAGTATTACGCTTACTTACAGTATGTTACTTATGTACTTAGCTTAGACTATTTATCTTTACAACAATTGTGATTACTTTCTTAACTATGTTCATCCTAACCCACCCTGTCAACTTTCCCTGTGGGAGGAAACCGGAGCGTCCCGAGAAAACCCACGACTTTCGAGTTTCGGCAGAGCGTTGACTAACTCTTTCATATGCATAAGTCCGTATAGCTAGAATCGAACCCACGATCTCAAAAGTGAAAGGCGCTTGCTGACGATTGCGCCACCGAAGCTCCCTACACTTTCCAAATCCGAGGTATTCAAAACCATTCAAATGTTGAATAAAATAAATGTCTTGTCAGTCTCTATAAAACCGTGTCAAAATGATCTCATTAATAATTTTGAATACGCTGCAGGCAAGCGATTGCGTTCGGCAATTTTGTCATGTTATGAGACTGGAGAAAAATGTGACGAGTACCATTGAAAACTTCAGTACATGTATTTCGGTAAAGAAATTTAGAACACTAATATCGTTTGACCTTTTGATTACGGGATTTTTCCTTGTGGAAATAAATAGCTGCCGCGCAAAAAATACTGCAAATATATAGAATGTAGATAGATATGTAGACGACCCGATTCAGAGTAACTGATTATGAACGCTTATAGACGAAACACAGAGACGATATATAACAGACCAGAGACGTTAAACGCAGAGTGGCCAATGGGAATGAGAATATCATAGTCTGTCAAAATATGTCAATAAAGTGAAAAAAGTGCCTTTTTTCTGGGCTAAAGTGCCTCATTTAAAGAACGAAAAATGTATTTCTTGAGTGAACGCCCTCTTTTGCTGGAACGAAAGTGCCCTTTTTGTAGTAGTAAAGACTCTGCAAAGGCCATTTCCAACGTCATAGAGACTCTGTATTTTCAAAAAGTTTCGTTCGGCTCGTGAACGACATAAAATCGTTTGATTTTGGTCATATACAAAAGTGCTCCTCTTGGCCAATGCCCCTCTACTTTCGAAATGCTTCCGCGACCTCTGCTAGATATGATGGTCTGGAGGCCCGGTAAACTTCCAAGCTACAAAATAAAAGGCCTTTGTTTGATGTTCAACTGTATCTCACCGTGCATGGTCCCGATTTGGTTGCACGTCTAATATCTCTATTGGACGATTACTTCTTTATACGAAAATACAATAAACTCAATCACCGTCGTCACCGTAGACAAATGAACGTAAACTGAGACATTAAAAACATGCACTGTAACCATCATATATTGATAGACTATGATCATATCGAACAGAAAGGTCATATTTTTGGTAACATGATATTATTATTCTCTCATTTTCTATACAGAATACAACGACATTCTCAAGTGTTTGAAAGATTATTAAGTCAGAAAATGCCAAGACTTTACAGACACTTGGTAAATTTACATTTAATGTTTGACAAGTTGTTTCGTGCAAAACATTTCGCGAAATTTTGGCAGGGCGAATTTTTGTTTCACCTATTGTACCACATTTTCTCATGTTGATGCAAATCTCAGTTTTTTAAACTTTAAATATTTATCATAATTAATTAGTTTGGCAAGTGCGCAATTCAGCCTTCCAGTTGCAAGGTATCTATTTTAATAAACAATAACTATCAATTTATATACCTGTCTTAGTTTCTAGTTTATATTTTTAACAATTATTGAATTCGGTTTTTCGAGATATGAAAAATTATCAAGCCCGATGTTTGTGTTATCAACCGAAGTCGATAACAACACAAACTTATGTTATCAACCGATGATTGATAACAACACAAACTGATGGCTTGAAAAAGACGTTTGGGGTCAATTCGTCGAAATATTATCAGTACTTTTCCCATTTGCTTTCATCTTTCATTAATTAGACGTGGCTGTTTTCGTCGATATCTCTTCTTTATATTTCAGAAGTTGTTTTCTTTAAATTGGCGAACACCACCGAAGAAGACGTCATATTGTTTTGGTTTCCACTTTTCGTATTCGTATTTCCACAACATGATCCAATAACGTTAAATATGCATATATCTTTATATCATCATTATGACATAACTGTGAATATGATTTTCATATCAACATTATGACGTCACTATTTGGTCAGCTTTTGAGTTGATACGACGCCATATTTGATCAGCTATCGTGTTGATATGACGATTTCACAGTTGTAAATAGAAACCACGAATCTTGTAACTAAATAATAATTAGGCCTATTCCATTTTCTTAGAAAGAAAATGGTATTGATCCACTATTGTATATTACGCCATGGTTTATGGCACTTTACACCAGTCTTCCGTGTTGGGACAGTGTACTTACTATTTGGGATCTTCTTCTGTTAGAAGGTAACTGAAAAATCTAATTGCTAACTTCATGATGTACAGTACAGTACAAGAAAAAACCCTACTTTTTGTTTTTGTGTTCTAAGGGGTCTCAGTCATATTTCAAACATCGCTTGGCATACTTCACATCATCTCCGGTACGTACAGTATGTGAAATTGAAGCTTCTTGTGCTTAACTATAGACCCCTTGCATGCAGACGTCATATAACTAAAACTGCCAGCTAGAATTCGCGATTCCCCTTATTACGTTTTCGTGGCACTTTGCATTGTGGTTATAGTGGTATATCACTGATATTCAAGATGGTTTATTATTTTGGCAAGAACTTTTAAAAAAAGCTACGGTCAGGTGCGCGATAGCCAACAGCAAAATATTCGCGAAAACATACAATATTTTCATTCGAGGCCGCTATCTTTATCAGTGATACCACTATATAACCACAATGCAAAGCGCTACGAAAACGTAATAAGGGGAATCGCGAATTAAGTCCTTCCATCGTACCTATACTGCATGATCAGATATGGTGCGGCATGCAGCTAGAGGTGCCCTTTATATCCTTCGACTCGATCAGTTTGTTCTGTGTCCTTCGAAATTCGGTTCAGCTGCAAGTAAGGATGATTAGTATACACCCTACTTCCAATTTTGGGTGAAAACTAGTGATGTAATGCTAATGGTATCCAGTAAACAATGGACATTCGGCACAATTTGGCCGGACATTTGCTGCATAGACTAGGACTTTTATTATTACCTTGAAACCAAAAAACTGTTTCCTTTGTCGGTTTTGTGTGTTCAGAAATTGTGAAACATGAACAATCACTGCATACGACTTGACATGCAGAAATTGTTTTCGAGATGTAAACTGCTCTGTCCTCTTGATTACCCACATATTACCCCTGTACCTGTATAAAACACCTGCCCAGAGCCTGCTGAAACATTGCTTCTTAAGGTTACAGGACACCCTTTTTGGCGTTTTGTGGAAAATCACTACTGCGCGCTCAAAGTCAGTCCGATTTTCATCAAATTTTCACCAAATGTTAGCCAGTGCATGCAAAATATGATAAAGTTGTAAAATTGACAAACAATAAAATAATGTAAGAATTATTCAGGAAAATCTTAAGTCGCGGTACCTTTACGCTTTTGAGTTAATATGTTCCTGCTGGTTTTAAGATATATTTATGAAAATATCATTTTTATACAGTAAAATAGTTGTTCTAAAAAATTGTGTTCGGAAATTTTTGTTTATTTCGTCATTCCGCTGATATGGCGATTTCTTTGACGACTGCAACATATTTCTGAATCGTTTGTGTGAATTGCTCATTATTAAAATATCCAAAATTAGAACAAAGCCGCGAACACAATTTTGAAACTGACGTCTTTAGCTATGTCCTGTGAAAATGTGAGAAAAAATCGTTAAAACCCGCAGGAGCACAACTCGTTTAAAAATCAGTAATTGCCGTAAAATTCTTCGGGAGAAAATTGAATTTGAATATTACATTTTCAATGTTTTTCTTATTGCAAGCGAAATGTATTTTATTAAATAACTCTGCGAGTTTTCAACATTTTTCGTCCAAACTTGGTCAGATAGTAGAACTAGTCTAATGCTTTCATGGAAACCAATAAAAAAATTTTAGGCAACATGAACACTCAAAGGTGTTCTGTATAACCTTAAATGACTGCCGGCAGACGTAAACAATTTAAAATTAAGCGGGCGAAAAGCTGTTTTACTTATGTATGTTACTAAAGTTATGGTAATTACTGTTAATCTGCGAAAGCATGACTAATGTTTTATTTCTCTTAGATGAGCTGTTATCTCGCACTGGCATTGCTCAAATACTTCCCATTCTACTTCGCCTGCCCGCAGAAAGGTTTGTTTCCTGTCTTCGGTTGTAGAAATGCAACTTACAGTAAGATTAATTTTGCTTCACACAATATACACTAAACAGTCCAAAGATAGATTTAATTTTTTGTATCTGATTGACCAATCAGGTGAAATACCGCATTTTCGCTTTTTTTTACATGCGGCCTGTCAGGGATTTGTGTCAAGCCGTCTTTTCCTTTCCGCCCACCCCCTTTTAAAGGCCATTTTCCATTGCAGTCGCTTTGCCCGCGCGGGCGTAGCGATCAATTTTAATCACGCGTGAAAAATCAGTCGCCCGGGCACGCCAAGAAAGTTGAATGTAGTTCTACTTTCATGGCGTGTCCGCGAGCATTCAGGCGGACAAAAAATGCACAGGTTAGGCAACTACAGAGAAAGTTGAGTAATGTTCGCTCCGCCCGTGCGAGCGAAGCGATTGCAATGGAAAATGGCCTTAAGGAAGGGTAACCAGGACCTGATACTCAGGCTAGAGGAGAATCTGCGTCTCATTGCAGGCTACAGGTTACAGCTAAACAGGAAACACCCTGATCCAGGGTATCCTGAAGATGACTTGAGAAAACTTTTTTTTTCTTTATTGTAGCCATTTATATTTCCTTTTCATTTCTTCTTTGTAGACTGAAAAGGTCTTACTTTGTGCCAGTTATGTGGCGTTGGACGATTTTCAGTTGGGAGGTGAATGCTGTCTTGGCAATAATTACAGACACGAGTAATGTTCAATCTAACCAAGGTGATGTGCATCAGTGCTTTTAACTTGAAGCTAATTTGAATAATTACCTTCTCCAGAGGGTTCTGTTTGTGTGTGTTTTTGTCACCACAATACAGCTCCAAAGATATTTAACGTGTTAATACGAAAATTTGTGGGGCTCCTCGAAATTATCCAAGCTAACCGATGAAATTTTGGTTCAATTTGGATGAAAATTGGTTGAGAAATTAGCAAAAGATTCTTTCACTTTCCCAATATGCGTAATTAGCCATTGTATAATTTATTATTATTATTATTATTATTAAAATTTATGGTTTCTCCCAAAAGGGTTTTTCAGAACCCATTTACAAAATTATTTTATAAAAACTACAATTTTAAAATATTTACAGTTTCTACAAAGTTAGGAATAAAAATGACTGATATCTAAGTTTTTAATAGTCTAAAATAGGAAGTAGTCTATAGTCTAAGTAGACAGTAAGTGTTCTTTAAGTTGACTTTTGAATGTCTTAAGTGATGTACATTTCTTTAGCTCAGTGTCTAAGTTATTCCAAATTGAAGCTCCTCTAAAAGCAAATGACCGTTGCCCTGACGCTGTTTTAAACAATGGTATCTGTATTGAGTTGCAGTATGTGAGATAATTTTCTGGCAGAGATATGCAGTATGGTGGCCGATCGCTATCATTCATTTTTTTGTCACTATTTAAAATAAAATAAAATAAAAACAAAACGAAAATAAAAATAAATACAAAATGAAAATAAAATCAAAATGAAAATAAAATCAAAATCAAAATGAAAATAAAATCAAAATGAAAATTAAAATGAATATAAATTTTATCGCCCTATCGCTATCAAAATTAATTTGAAATGTAATACAATTTTAAAATATAATTCAAAGGAAAATAACAAAAAAAAGTTTTTTCAAAATAAATTGCTTTTTTTTTCAAAAATGAAATGAAAATGAATTTTTTATCGGCCTAGCGCTATCACAGTATCCCATGTGGCATTGCGCGCATAGCTTGTGCTTCCACTGATATAATTATAAACATTTTGACTGTAGATTTCTATTGTAAAACTGATATTTTTCCGAGTTTTCCAAATCTGGTATTTCGAGAACAAGCACACATCATAGAAGAATGAAGAACATTTGGATGTTGAAAGAAACTAAATCGCAGGTGAATAATTTGACATTTTCACCGTCGAAAATCAGAGCCAAGCGAGCGTCAGAACACAACACACTACACTGTCTGTCTAGACATACTCTAGATATTACAAAGTAATTTTGATTTTTCAGTATAAAATAGTCACTCACTACAGTACTAAAACAATTATTTACGTTTTTGAGTGAATAGGTAGGTTTAATAAGCAGCATGCCATATAAGATATTAAACGCGATAGTTTGCAGTGTATTTGTAATTGACATTTTATGCTTCAGCTGATAAATTTGTTCAGACCAACTGGCCAGGGAGCAATTGGTGGATTTGGTAAAAATTCAATATACATGTGACGGTGAAGGACCATATTTATGAATAAAAGTTGACTTACATACCGGGTGGCCCCAAAAAAAGTACTCCTGTTTGATTCGTAATAACATCTAAACAAGTATAGCTTTTAAAGAGAAATAACTTGCATCAAATAGAGGAAGGACTAACTTAGACTTTGATATATTACAGTTGTATTTCACTTAAAAATTCACGGAGATATTAATCTTTAAATTCGGGAGGATATTTCTGGATGTGTCTGAAATATGCAAAAATCGGCGTATCAAATATTAATCAAGATTTGCCCGACTGAAACATGCACTATTACCAGTAAATAAATGACACTTGACAAATTGTTTATTATGAAACAAAGTATTATTATATCTACAAAATACAAGCAAGATTCATTCGTCCGAAATTCGCGTGTGTTCCTAGCACGAATACGTTTCCTTATTTCATGAGACCACTGCATCGCGAAGGATCGTCATTGGATCGTTCGTAGTTCTGAATTAGGGCATGCTGTCACAACGGAATTGTGAAGCTCTTCTAACTTCTGCAACGTTCTGAAATCTTGTTAAGAACACCCAAACTCTTTTGCCGTTTCTTAATCTTGGCAAGTTCATGGAGTAAACTGAGAATTATATGAAACACAATCAAACCATACAACTCCATAAGACATAACAATTAAGCAACTCCCCAGAGACATGCAACATTTTTGGAACAAAACGTAACAAAATAGTAGCGTTGATACGGTGATGTGTATTTGCAAAAAGCAATATTATTTCCTTCAATAAAGAATATTCATCCTGCTCTAACCGAGAAATAATCTACTCAGTCTGTTTGAACCCATTAAAAACATAAAAAAATTAGGCTATTTAAGAATACGAAAAATTTAAGCGCCTGCCTTCCATGGTCAGTCTTTCATGTACATTTAAGTTTGCAAAGACCTAATATTAAATACTTGCATAATTTCGAACGTTCATATTTCAGGAAACAATGAGCTAAGACTTACATGTAAGATGTCTAAATCTACGCCATATCCCTTACAAACCTTAACGATAATTCGCTGAAATACAAGTTAGCCTAATATGTCATTAAGCAAACAAACGCTGGAGTTAATATTTGATATGCCGATTTTCGCTAATTTTAGACACATTCCAAAATATGCTCCCCATTTTTAACATTAATATATCCGTGAATTTTTAAGTTAAATACAACTATAATATATCAAAATCTAAGTTAGTCCTTCCTCTATTTAATGCAAGTTATTTCTCTTTAAAAACTTTACTTGTTTAGAAGTTATTACGAATCAAACAGGAGTACTTTTTTTTGGGCCACCCGGTAGATAATGAGTTATAGTGTTATTCTAATGAGTTTCACAGCCATCTTCCCTTCGATATAGGCTATGCACCACAAGTCAAATCCAACAAGAAATTAACCTTACACTAGTCCCTGAAAATCAAACCAGCGAGCTCATCTTCTGGGACTGGTCAAATCGATCCATGCAAACATGCTGTTCCGCAACATTTTTTCCCCAACGAATATTGGGGCAGGATATTTTCCCCCTAGTTTGTTAGTGCATGATTTATTTTTGTTCAGAATAGCCTTGCAGGAAATTTTTTTCAAAATCAACCCCCCCCCCCAAAAAAAAAAAGTTAAGTGGTCGGCCACTAATGCTATGAAGCTTCTTCTATCAGTCATCAAGAGTACAACAGTCAATAAACACCTGTAGTTGTTGTGTCAGTTTATATTACATTAAAGATCTTTATCATCTCATGTTGTCAATGTCATCTGCATTTTTATTCTATACTTTTCATGTGAGTCGATTGTTCTTTTTATGTGTTAGCCTTGTGTTTGATGGTGAATACATGGAATTTTGTATCATTTTCTCATTTGAGTACAGCATAAGCATCAATACACTTGAGTTTGCCCCCCGTCAGATTCACTGTATAATGCCATAGTGAAACCCAAGAATTGGCATGAGATCACTCAAAAAGAAGTGATAAGTGTAACTACAGTAGAAGTTTGTGGCTGAATTGATTATCATACAATATCTATAAATTCTATATTCACAGTATATAAACTTCAAGGATATGATGTTAATGGGCCATTCCATTTAAAATCCACTCCCCCCCCCCCTATGGATGAGGTCAGTAAAATTTTAACCCCTAAGAAAAAACTATCAAAGTGCCGACACAAAACACCCCTCAGAAATTTCTAAATTTTCCCCTTACCCCTCAGAAAAATTGCAGAGATCAAAGGATGCCGACAGGCTAGAAACGACTTTTTGAGTCACCCTTCAGAAAAACTCATCCATAGGGTGTGTGTGGACATTAAATGGAATGGCCCAACAGTAAATAAAACATGCCAGGTTTATAGCCATTAAATGCCATTTTAACATCGACTTTGGTCCCGGGGTTAAAATCTCCAACATATTGGCGTGAACTATTGTATATGTTGGATTATCTACGGAGTACTTTACATGGAATGGGCTATTCCATTTAATATCCGTACACCCCCTGTCGAGGATACATGTTTTTCATGGTTATACCCCTGAAGAATTCCAAGCTCAAAACCTTTTACCCCTGAAGAATTCCAAAATTCCAAGTTCAAAACTCCTTACCCCTGAAGAATTCCAAGCTCAAAACCTTTTAACCCTGAAGAATTCCAAGCTCAAAACCCTTCACCCCTGAAGAATTCCAAACTCAAAACACTTTACCCCTGAAGAATTCCAAGCTCAAAACACTTTACCCCTGAAGAATTCCAGGGATCCTCGACAGGGAGTTGGGTACGGATATTAAATGGAATAGCCCAATGCACCCTGGCCAGTTGGTCTGAACAAAGTTATCAGCCGAAGCATAAAACGTCAATTACAAATTGTTTAATATCTTATATGGCATGCTGCTTATTAAACCTACCTATTCACTCAAAAACGTAAATAATTGTTTTAGTACTGTAGTAAGTGACTATTTTATACTGAAAAATCAAAATTACTTTGTAATATCTAGAAGTATAGACAGACAGTGTAGTGTGTTGTGTTCTGACGCTCGCTTGGCTCTGATTTTCGACGGTGAAAATGTCAAATTATTTACCTGCGATTTAGTTTCTTTCAACATCCAAATGTTCTTCATTCTTCTATGATGTGTGCTTGTTCTCGAAATACCAGATTTGACTTGATTTCTTCGCATACTTGTCGAGTATAAGGCGAAAACTCGGAAAAATATCAGTTTTACAATAGAAATCTACAGTCAAAATGTTTATAATTATATCAGTGGAAGCACAAGCTATGCGCGCAATGCCACATGGGATACTGTGATAGCGCTAGGCCGATAAAAAATTCATTTTCATTTCATTTTTGAAAAAAAAAGCAATTTATTTTGAAAAAACTTTTTTTTGTTATTTTCCCTTGAATTATATTTTAAAATTGTATTACATTTCAAATTAATTTTGATAGCGATAGGCCGATAAAATTTATATTCATTTTAATTTTCATTTTGATTTTATTTTCATTTTGATTTTGATTTTATTTTGATTTTATTTTAATTTTTATTTTGATTTTAGTTTCATTTTGAGTTTGATTTTATTTTTATTTTCATTTTGTTTTTATTTTATTTTATATAATAACAAAAAAATGAATGATAGCGATCGGCCACTATAGTATGTAATCGTTTGTTTTGAAAATATATAGTGGTTTTGTATGTTCTGTCTACGATTTGAATTGCATTAATCGAATAATCTATCTTTGCGCTCTGGATACTTCAATTTAAATATGTATTACCCGATGCTAAATTACCATACGCGAGGTATGGATAAACCAAAGCATTGACCAATTCGAAAACTAGCTACCACAATTTTGCGTTGTTTTCAATTTTTTGTATTACCAGGCTAAATAAACAATTTTTGAACAGAGACTGTTATTTAAGACAAAGTGTAACAGTTTAAGATTGGACCAATCGATACAAGTGAAATTATCGTCTTTGAATTTGCAAAAAACACCAGAGCGAGGCCTTGTAATAAGTGATGACAACTATTTCGTATACCGTAAAAAACGAATGTAAGCCCTCGGCTTAGGCTATATTCGTTCGTAAGCATTTACGTAAGACTTTACACGCGGAGGGTCTTGTAGATGGAAATTATCGAGTGGAAATTTATACACATTTGTTAGACCAAACCGAATTTATATACGGTACATTTATTAGACAGTTGCTAAAAATACAACTTTAGATATATGCATGGCAGGAATGAAATCTGCGGCCCTGCGATTCCGGTGCAGCGCTCTAACCAACTGAGCTACAGAGTCCAGTTGTCGAGCTCTATAACTACAAGTTCATTTATATATACTAAGGGTACTACCCTGTTTAGGCACGGTTAATAGAAGGAGACTGGTTAGGCTAGCCGGCAAACTTCAAAGGGTCTCTGAAGTTATGTTGGGAACCCCAAAAATAAATGTCACGTGGTGCGATTCCTGCATCAACAAGGAGTGATACTAAGAAAACATTAAGAGATTTAGAGTGTTTTGCAAAATTTAAGCGATTTTTATACCTTTTTTGCAAGTTGAAAGCATATTTTTATGGATACACGGCGTTTATGGACATCCCACAGGAAAAATAT